GATGATGACAGTTAAGTTGCACGTAAATGATGGTTTACGTCTGAACAAAATCGTTGGCGTACCCACTTGCTTGATTTCCATTAACAAATTGAAAGCATGCGTGTAATTAGGAGGAACCCTATTTAGCTCCTCAGAAAGGATGTCCCAGTATGCGCGGTACATATTCTCTCTAAAGAAATGTTAACTGAAAGTGGAAAATATTACTATCAGATAAACTACCCACTTAACAGCAGCTTCTATAGGATTTGCCGGTATTTCAGAAACAGAGAAATTTGGATCAATGGCAATTTCATGAACCAATGCTAGATTATCCATGGCTAACGACATTTTCAATAGCTCGTCCGAAGATACGAAATGAGCTGGGGATCCACCTGCAAGGCATTGAAGTAACTTCAGCAGGTCTTCAAGTCATAACGTCAAAAATTAGCATACCGGCAACCCACGATGGGAGCTGAGTATTATTAGAGGTAGCTGACGATGAAGGCACATCAACTGCTTCACTGATTCTTCTCTTTTTGGGATCTGTTCCTATACTATTCGGTTCTGTAGCCATTGCATCGCCAAATTTCTCCGCATCTGAAGACTGTCTTTGCGGTTGTGGATGTTCAGCAGATTTCTCCTCATCGTCTTCCATGACTCTGCAAATACAGAGCTAAAAATAGTCTCGTCATCAAGAAAAGCTAAAGCTTCTTGATTAAACCGTGCAAGATTTTAGAGGGTGAGTTTCACTAAAAAGAAAAGTAATCGCAGAAATAAAGTCAGCGTCTTCGTGAATAAGAATTTTCCTACGAAGCACCCCTTCACAAATGCAGATTTTTTTATGAATCAAACTCGTCCACGCAATCGCGTCAAGGCGGAACTCGCATCTACGTTGTATCTTATTCGCTACCAATATATTCTGGGCAGATCGTGTGCCTCCCACTTTCTTATTCATATTTGCTCACTTGAAATCCTCAAGACTTAACATTTTGTAGTCACAGGTGGAATTGTCGGTGTACAGAACATTCAAAGAATTGCTCGCAGCCTTTGCTTATGATTTCTAAGCCTTTTCAGCCCAGTAATGACGTAGGGAATGTAAGGAAGAAAAGCAAGCTAGTCACAAGGTTGGATCGTCAACTTGACTTCCAGTGTAATCCCTTTAAACATTCAGAAAACTGTTTTGAGCTCAAATCTGAACTGATTCACCTTTTACTTGAAATTTATCTCATTTTCTTAAAGTTTTCTAAGGCACTTCCTGAATATTATGAAACGCTTTCTTCTTTATGTAACTTGTATTTTTTTAAACTTTTAAATCCTTTAGAATTCCATACAGTTGTTAGGTGCTATAGTCAGACACTAAAATTTGATATGCATTCCATTCATGCTCAGTTAGGTGGGAGGCAGGGCAAGAGGCTG